CCACAGGACAGCCCTGTGTCACTGCAGCCCTTGTATACAAACAAGCTAGACTATTTAAATGTCATTGTGAGAAAGATGCCTGCTGAAATTTACATTTCTATTCAGACCACCACTCCTTTCTTGATCTAGCCAGAAAGTTTTTTCTTCTTCCTTGGCTAGAGACCATTTGCAAAGTTAAATCTTTGTTGTAATAAAAAGATGTAAGAGTCAAGTCCCTACAGAGATGCAGAATCAGAATGATGGAGATGTATAACTCACGGCATCACATCGCAAGGGTCATAGGTTACTGCCACCAAATGCTAAATCATCTCAAAGTTTACTCATAAATGTTTCCGACGCCAAACCATGTAACGTCTTTCAGTTTTGGAGAGCTAAGGGGTCCTCAGCGCTTTTAATCTTCAGGATTAGGTCCCAGTTGAATGAGAAAGCAGTTCTATGTGGGCAGGGGGAAATGAACCAAAATGAGGAACCAATCCCTTCCAGCACTCGTTCCCACTCCTGCGAAATATAGATTAGTCACAGATAAGATTGCATTCATCACCAAGCCCCATGGGCTTGCCGTGATTAAAGTTAAAGGAGTCCAGGAACCGCTCAAGTTGAGAAGGAAGGGTGAGTTGGGCTGAAATTTCCAGCCCCTCCCTAAAGGCCTGGGAACCTGTTCCAAATCACAACTGAAACCAAGCTGAAGGACATCTGTTTCTTCCGAAAGTCTTTGGCATGGAAAAGAAGAACTGAAGATTAGAACAGATAAATATTGTTGTGGGTGGAGAGATGAGGAAGGGGGATCAGGAAAATTAGAATCATCTACTAACAAATTCTCTCATAACTCAATAAATACCACCAGAGGAAACAGAAAAAGAAAGAGAAAAAAAGGGAAGAAGGTGGAAGGAAAATCAAGGACCAATTACTTTTTTTTCCTAGCAGAACTTGACACAGCAGTGAACAAAACACTGCTGCATTTGAGATGAATGTTTGGACATCCACTATTTGTATAACAATTTAATACTGGATTATCCACAAGAGGAGGTGCATTAAGCATTCTGCTTAGAGTTTGCTAACAAAGACTATACATTAAATTTAAATATTCAGCATAATATTAGGGAATAATTTTCTAAGCCCACATGGACTACCAGGATCATTTTATGAGTAGTGGTTCCAGCCTCTCCTCTGATCCTAAAATCACTTCTACTGTACATTAGAGTACATGTAGCATCTACTTCTGGTCCACATATCCAGAATTAATAAAATGAGGTAATAGCATGAAATCCGTAGGCAACTGCATTATATTTCTACCCTGGAAATTTAGTGTTCTGAATAAATTTCTTTTAAAATCAACCTTAGGCCAGGCACAGTGGCTCATGCCTATAATGCTAGCACTCTGGGAGGCTGAGGCAGGTGGACTGCTTGAGCTCACAAGTTCAAGACCAGCCTAAGAAAAAGCAAGACCCTGTCTTTATTAAAAATAGAAAAATTAGCCTGGTGTTTCGGTGGCTGCCTATAACCTCAGGTATTCAAGGAGGCTGAGGCAGGAGGATTGCTTAAGCCCAAGAGGTTGAGGTTGCTGGGAGCTATGACGACACCGGGGCACTCAACCCCAGGGTGACAGAGTGAGACTCTGTCTAAATAAATAAATATATATATATATAATCAACTTTAATTTTTATTAACAACAGAAAAAAACAATAGCAATGGTAGTGATATTACAGTAGTAGCGATGATGAGGCTAAGAGTAATAACAGTAATACTAATGGTAATATTAATACTAACCATCACTTACACCGCACTTCCTAAGTCTTGGACACTATTCTAAACACTTTAAATGCATTAATTTATTTAGTCCTCACAGCACTCCCATGAAGTAGGTGAGCTATTATTAGCATCCTGTTTTACAGACACTTCCAACAATGTCCCCTTGTTATTTTTGTTGTAGTTAACAACTACAGCTATCTTTCAAAGAAAATATTTGGAGTCATAGGAGAGGAAAAGAGGCTTGTCCAAGGTCACCCAGCTAGGCGGCAACAGACCCAGACTCAAACCCTGCACGCTCAGCTACAAGGTCTGATCTCTTTGCCACTGGGCTCTGCTCTTTGCCCCTTGTTTACTTAGGGAAGCCTTCTAGACAAGGTATATGGAAGAAAGTCATGCTCCTCCCTGTATAATCAAGATTACTGTTTGAAGTTTGCGGTTCCTTCAGGAGGCTTCCCAAACCCGCAGTAAGATGCACGGCCTGCTCCTACAGCTATGAAAGTCACTGGGAGTATTGCTGACTGTCACTGTCTCTGACCATGGCGAGCTCCATTAGAGCTTTCACCTTTGCCAGCTAAGGAAGAAGTGGGGGTTGAGGGGGGGATCCTTCCCAGGCTTCATTTCCTGCCCAGTAACACAGTCCTCAAATAGCCAAGGCTGCAGGCCGAGAAATTCCTCACCAGTAAATTATGTCCTGGAGCTTGTTCCTTGAGCCTTTGTTAAGAATGGACATTTTCTCATGAATCCATGATTCAAGAAGACCAAGGACTGAGTTAGAGAGCCAAGCAGCAAAGTTTGTTTATTAACCTGCTACACCCAAGGGAACACTTTTCTGAAAGGGCGAAATTCCTCACTCCTCAAAAAGAAAAAAGGAAAGAGAGAAGAAAAAAAAAAACCTATGGGAAATTTAATCACCAAGTGAACAAAAGTGAAAAACAAAGGCCTTCCAATGAGAATGTTGTCAGAGACAATAGGCCCCTAAAAGAGACGAAATTGTCTCCAGATAACAATCCCCCCAGGAATTCAGCTGCACTAAGTACTACATTATTGCCATACTAGCCAAGGAATCTTTGTTCAGGAGGCAACTGCGAGCAAAGCCATCTGTTACTGCTCCTGGGCTCCCCGGTTTGCAGACACGGCATTTACATTTCAAGAGGAACCTCCAGGAAAGGAAGAGGGAGTTCTCTATCTTTCCCTGGGAGCAAATATCTTTTTATATAGTCTGGGAGGGGGAAGCTCCCCTTTCCTTGAAACTGAACTCTGCAATTGAAAGGCGATAGGCCACTTCAATAATGCACAGGCCGCGTGCTCTGGTCCGGGCTACCACCGAGTCCCAGAGCCACGCACACCTGGCTACGGTTTTCCCATTCTTACACTGGTACAATCGGTAAAGTATTGAGAATAGCACCTAACAGGTCACTACTTTTCTAAGTAATCCCCTTTTCCTTTTCTTAAACCTGATATAAAGCTAATATTCTGTACTGTATAATATTTAGCCTGAAATCTACCACCTCATTGAAGCAGGCTGCAGTCTGGGCCAAAGGAGACGTGCTGTATATATATTGATCTAGGTGGAGGCTATAGTAATATATACATAGGTCAAAACTCACGCAGGTGACACTTAAGAGTTGTACGCTTTACTTTCCTGAATACAACTCACACCACAATGTGTTTTTAAAAGCAGAGAATGTCGATATTACTTACAATTAAGGAAACTGGGAATACATCAGGCGCCTTCAAGAATAGTATGACTACTCTGTTTTTGTATCCTCTTCTCACCCACACCCACACCCACAGTTTCCCCCTGAGAAATTTTAAAGTTCAAGAACCTGAAAAATACAGTCATCTAACTCTGCACTAAGCTGGTAACTACAAATATCTCCTGAGTATCCTGTGAGCCCAGCACAGTCCCCGGCACCTGTCACACGCCAAAACCGTTCCAGCCACATATCAAAAAATAAAAGGCCAAGGTCTTTTTGTCATCTCATAGGAACATGTCTGAGGCTTTTAGCAATAAGCCTCGAATTTATTGTTCTGTTTCTTTAACCCTGTTTTTAAAGAGATGCTTCCGAGTGACACTCTTGCTTGCATAAAGCATGTCAACCCTGAGGGGTGCAGGGTTCTGGCCGGAGCATGAGAGCAGCATGAGCTGCGGGTGGTGTGTGCACGCAGCTCGGCAGGTTTCTATCTGCAGCCTCCGAGCTCTGTTACCTCGGCAGCACCTACAATGCCCAGAGGAGGGGAGTCTCCAAGGGACAGTCTGAGTACTGGGAGCTTCATCACGGTTCGGTCAAGCTTAGCGGTACACTTCCTCCTTTGAATTGAGGGGATCAAGGCCAAATTCATACCTTTCTCTAAGCCTGAAGAAAGGTCACCCATTGGAGCAGAGGCTCCTTACACTAATCACGGGGATCGCCTTCCCCCTCGAACCCCTCTAGTGTCCTGACCACCGCCGACAGGTCATTGCGGGAGCCCAGGGCTTCCAAGCTGCATTTACAGACATAGTGAATCAGGATCACCCAGCTAGCGCTTCCTGGACCCAGCCGAGAGCTCCAGTGATTTCCCTGGCCTGCCACCGCGTCATTTAAGAAGTGAAATATGCCGACCCAACCGGGTACCCGGCACGGCGGAGCCCACCCCGCCGTCTCTGAGATGCACTGGGGACTCCAGTGGCGGGGCAGCGTCTATGCGGATCGTGAGCTCGCAGATGGTTCTCGCAGGCTCCCCCGGCCCTGTGCGCTGTGCCAGCCACACACCTGACCCGGTGCCAGGAATACAGAAAAAGGCTCCAGTGGGTATGCGCCTCCGTGGAGACACTGCCAACTCCGCACCCGGAGGGCGGGATGTGGGACAGGGAGCTAAACACCCCGAAATGCGGCACCGGTGAGGACGCTGGGGCTCGCGCTTCTGCGCCCTTGCAGCGCTTCTGCTCACACTGCGCTTCCCTCCGCAACGGCTGGAAGCGGCTCGAGCTGAGATTTTCGAGGCCGGCCGCCAGGAGGGATGCGGGCGCAGGGGACCGCTCCTCCCCTCCGCGCACTCTACACTGCAGTGTCCCCCGTGCACGCCCACCTTCACCCGGACTTAATGCCGAAGCTCCAGGGGATCACAGCTCGCCGAGGCCCTGGCGGATGACCCGGAGCAGCTGGACGAAGAAAGTGGGGGGAGGCGAGGCTGGACCTGCGGACCGAGCGTGCGCGGGTCACTGGCTCCGGGCGCCCCTGCAAGGCCGCCCGCCAGCCACCAGCACCTACCTCGATCCACTTCTGCGCCTCGGAGAAGGCAGGCTCGGGGGGCGGCTCGGGCTGCAGGGGCTGAAGAGCTTCCAAACCGAGAGCGGGACAAGCCATTTGCGAAGCCCCGCGTCCACTCGAGCGCCAGGATGAGGACGGCCACCGCCGCCGCCGCCGCCGCCGCAGGAGCGCGCTCCCCGCCCCTTCCCGCCCGCCGGCTCCCCCCTCTCCGCCCTCCCCGCCCGTCCCCTCCCCCGCCCCGCGCAGGTCCCGGGAGAGCCGCGCGCGCTGCTGGAGGACGCCGCGGCAGCTGTTCCCAGCGCCGCCCGGGCTCCGGCGCTCTGCTCCCCACCTTCTCCGGCCGCTCCGCCCCCGCGGAGGGGGGGCTCGGCTACCGGCTAAAAATAACCTGGCGCGATCGCTGGGTGTCTCCCTCCCAGCTCCCGCAGGCCCGGGAAAGGGACTCGGCCGGCCGGCCGCCCGCACGTCCCACCACCCGGCCGGCTGCAGAGGGGCGGGCAGGGCGAGCAGCACCTGGGAGCCCGCGCGGAGCGGGGTACCAGCGTCCCGGGGCAGCCGCGCTGCGGCAGCCGGGCTGGAGGACGCGCCGGCACCTGCCGTCCCTTCCCGGCCGGCCGCAGAGGTGGGGGCTAGAGAGGCAGCCCAGCCCCGGCGCCAGGAAGTGTCCGGCCACCTGATCTTTCTGTAAGAAAAAAAGAAAAACGACCCCATGAGCTTTTATTCCCTCCAGGCCAGCTACCTGTATGCCGGTCTGTTGACACATTCAACTAACAGTTAACTGTCCACCTACTATGCGCCAGGCACCAAGCCAGGCGCTGGGCACTCAGACAAAAAGTGAAAGAGAAAAAAAAGCAACTCGAAGTCCTTGTTCTCAAGATATTTACATTCTAGAGAGAATTGGGGGCGGGGACAGACAATAAACAAGTAAATCAAAGGAAGATGGTTGCAGAGAGTGCAGTTAAGGAGATAAAAAGAGGGGAACAAAACGATGACTCGGAAAGGAAGTGCGGGCTAATTTCCGACGGCCTTTCCACCCTCCGCGGGGAGGCCGGCCTGGGTGTCCGGGTTCCCCAGACGGGGGCAGGGGGCCAGCGGGCCCGAGGGAAGTGAAGTGTCTTTATCCTGCTCCTTCCTTCGTGGGCCTCGGTCACGCCGCTCTGCCCGCGGCTCTCCGCCCTAGTTACTTTCCTTAGGGTCCCCAAAGGTGCCTGTCCCCTCTCGCCCGTCCACCTCCCAGGCCTGGAGATGGCAAAGGCCCCATCCCGTTCTGGTTTCCGACCGTGCCGGCTTCCTCCTAACAGCCCCTGACACTCTCCCCTGCCACCTCCACTTGAGCTGCCTTCTGTTTGGCGAGAGAGACAAGGAGGATCAGGAAAGTTTTCGGAGGAGGTGGCATGGTGAGAGGACACGAATGGGGGAGGGTGACGAGTGCGACAATCCGGGGAAAACATTTCCAGATGAGTGCCAAGGCTTTGAGGTGGGAACGAGTTCGGTGGGGGTGGAGGGACCCACAGCTGGCCACTGGGAGACTGGACTGCGGTGCGGCAAGAACCAGGTGGGAGC